TAGCCTTTCACCAATTAATTGAGGTCGGCTACACGAATCTTTGTCCGCCATACCCTCAGTGAGGCTATAAGTCCCTATATCATTTCAGACTAGTTCCAAACACATCTTTTTGGGCCTACCCTTTGCCCTTTTCAAGCCTTCTACTTGAACTAACTCGTACCTCCTAACATGTGATGTACTAGATCAGCACCATACATGGCCAGCCCACCTAAGTCTACGCTCTGTCATCTTATCGCCTATTGGTGCTACACCTAAATTTTCGTAATGGATTCATTATGTAAAGACAACGTTCCTTAAAACTAAATTAGAGGAAGTGATTTTTAAAAGACAATCCTGAGGATTTGAAGGAAAAGGTCAAGAAAACAAAATATGCAAGTTACATATATCCCTTACATGGACTTAAACAACCATCAAAACTAAATTAAAGGAAGACATTTTTAAAAGGCAACCTTGGGAAGTTGAACAAAAAGGTCAATAAAGCAAAGTATGCAAGTTACAAAAATCCCTTTTATGGACTTAAACAGTCATCAAGACATGGTACTTCAAATTTAATAAGGCACTAAAGAACTATGGCATTGTTAATACAAGGGCTGACTATTGTGTATATAACCAAAGTAGTGGGGGTTGTTATCACATTTTGGATTAACAAAGCGCTGACTATTGTGTACATACCCAAAGTAGTGGGGGTTGATATCACATTTTGGTATTATATTTAGATGACATTATCATTACAGGTAGTGATCCTAAAGCTATTAACGATACCAAAGAATGATTATCTTCACAATTTGAGATGAAAGAGCTAGGAAAATTAGAAAAAGTTCTTGGTATGAAAATTACACGAGATAAGAAGAGAAGACTACTTTACCTAAGTCAAGAATTGTATACTAGAAAGATATTAAAGAAGTTTTAGAATGAATGAAACCAAACCAATGGGAACCCCATATGAGAAAGATGTAAAGTGTCTAATGACATGGGTCCTAAGACTGCTAAAGAGAAGGAGATAATAGCAAAGATCCCTTATGCACAAGTAGTAGGTTCATTAAACTATTTGATGAACTATACACAACTGACATAGCACATGCAATGGGGGTTGCTTGCCATAATATGAGTAACCCAGACATGGAACATTGGAAGCTTGTAAGGATAATCTTTAGATACCTCAAAAGGACCACCAAATATAGCCTATGCTACGGAAATGGTAAGTTCGAATTGCAAGGCTACAGTGATGCTTAAGCTAACTGGGGTCGTAGAGGATGAATTTATATCCACATCTAGATGGGTTTCACTTATAGAGGACCATGTATATCATAGTTATAAGGAGCATGTATATCATAGGGCGGTCATATCCAAACGAGTATGTCACATCCAACTATAAAAGCAGACACTATAGCATCATATGAGGTGGCGAATGAAGCAATTTATATGAGAAAACTGCTCAGTGAAATACCACTAGCTAAATTTGAGAGCACTTAACAGTTATTTATTGTGACAACCAAGATGCCATAGCTATCTCCAAGTATCGTATGTACCAAAATATAGCAAAACACATCAATGGAATGTAACATTCTGTGAAAGAGTATGTGGAACAAAGAGATATAGAAGTGATATGTCTCCATGCAGATTTTATGATGGCTGACCCATTAACTAAAGGTGTCAACATAAACACGCATGAGAAATGCGCAAGAGGTATGGGATTGAGATCCACAAGCTTCTTGTGATGATTTTCAATGGCACAGCAATCAACTATGTAGTATGTTTGATGTTATCCACTTACCTACGTCGCAATGATAGCCTATGTGGCATAAGTAAGAACCCTCCAAGGGAAGTAGTCTATGTCATTGGACATTTAATTGTTCATTTGTGTGGCAAAATCCCTTGAATGGGAAATGTCACGAACGACCACTAGCTAGCAGTCTATTCACTCTTAGTATCCACATTGCAAGGCTAGACTAGAAGTTATATTCGACATCGCTCAATGAACATGACTGCCAGCTAGCAGTCTTTCGACTCTGTGTTCCGCATTATGATGGCTAGCTTGGACATCCGGATAGTTGAGCATGACCTCCGACTAGCACTCTTTTGACTGTATGATCCGCTTCGTGATGGCTAGACTGGACAATTATATGTGGCATGGCTCATTGAGCATGACCTCCAGCTGCCATGTCTTATTGACATTGTTTCCACTTTGCTATAGCTAGTTTGGGCAGTTTGAGTATCCCGACAAGATCAAGGCATGATCCACTGTTCCAATAGTTATTAACTTTTTCAAGTGATAGAGGCTTTTTTCCTTCATGTCATATATATTTCACAGCGTGAGTGTTTGATGCATTACGGAAGACACTAGTAAGAGAGAGAGACCACTAATCTAGAAACATATAGGTGAAGCTCATGATATGATTGATAATCACGCAATACGTCACGACAATTGATGAGCGCGGGGAAGTGTGTGGTTGATACCATTTACTGGATGAATCATATGTGTGGATGGATTTGTTGTTTAAGGATGTATAGCTCAAACAACTTAAATATAGCTACTAAAGCAATGTATGATGGATGTTTAAGAAAAATAAAATGTTTCTAAAATATATGGAGAATAAAAGGGCCCTCCTTTTGTTTTCTAACCCACTTGAAAGTATGTTTGAAGGGAAACAAATAAAATAAGAACGGAGCCACATGAGATGAGGGACAAGTGGCTATTGAAAGGTAACACTTGGTCAATCTCTTTCTACAAGTATCTTCTCTCTCTTCTCTAAGCAGCTATATGTATATTGGAAAGGTTTTTTTAGGGACTAGGGCACCTTGCACAAGCTACTTTGCTCTCTTTAAAACCTCGTTCTCCCTCTTATGGTTCCTAGTGTGATGAGTTTAAGGATGTGCCTCTCAACTCTGTAAGAGCCCTACAATGTCACCAGATATTTACAACATCGTGTTCCCTAGTTCACCCCTTTCTCGCTATATTCTTTCCTACACATGTTTTACAGCAAGCTGTTTCTCAACAAGTTTCTCTCTCTAGGAAAGCAACAAAACACAACCTGCAAGTCTCTACAAATTTGGTGAGTTTGTTTTATGGTGTCACTCATCTTTTGTATTTAAAATACTACTTGAAATTGGGGAAAGTTGCATGGGCAAGAAGAAACCCACAGGGGCATCATTCTTAGTTATTTGAAATGATTTACATGGAGGTCCGATTTTGAAAATACTTGCTGGAAATGTTCTATGGGTTGATTAAAACACTTGAATGATGTTCACAACAATAATAATCGAATTTGGGTTTTGATTTTTTTTATGCATAGCATGACTGTGATCCTAAGTGTCAATAAAATTTACAGCAAGCTATAGTGACTGTTTTTTTATATCAAATGAAGGATTGCACGCCAGCTGTTTGATGATTCTCCTGGTTTTTAGCTGGAATATCAGTTTACATTCTAATATAGCTGGAATAAAACAGTCCGGTGTTTGGCGCTCAGTTATCATAAGCTTTGATTAAAAATCAGTAAGAGAAGTGATAGTTGGAAAAGTAGGCAGTCCCATTAAGAACTTCCTAGTAAATGAAAAAAGAATGTGGGTTATAGGAATAAAAACAATATCACAGTATGACATCATACAAACCTAGGTTCCAAGCCTTTGTTGACTTCTCTATGATGCTAATACGATAAGCAGGATCAGAGAGGATATTCATATGGGAAAGACTCGAACAAGAAGGATTGCACTAGAGCATCAGCTTCCTCGGGGGAGAATTATAACGATACAATCTTCATTGTAAACAGCCTTCAGCATTACAAATAATTAATCATTATCTATGTGTCTTCTAGGAGAATAAGAACCAGTATACTACATGTGCTACATTAAGTTATGATTTGAGAAGGTGGAAATACCATCTTAAATTCCAAATTGTTGTGCAGAGTACCTGAGATTCTGCTTTGCTTGTAAAGGTTGACAGAAACTCAAAGCAGCCCATAGGCATCTTTTCTTTTGGTGGACTTTCACACCCTCAAAGTGATCTAAACATTCCAAAAGGACATGAACAATGAATCAACAATGATTGAAGCTTCAAAGGAAATGACCCAAGCGATTTTATGAAGTTGATAGCCCCAGAATTTGCTAATTAAAGGATTTAACGTTGCAAATGTTTTAGTTTCCACATGAATGGGCTTTTTGAGTATTAGGACCTAAATTTCAACCTGCACTAGAGAAAGGCCTCCCCAAGGGAAACACTAGCTCATCTTCAACTGTTCAATGGGAGGGAGGCTACAATATCCAGTAGTATTTGTAGACGCATACCCAAACGAATGATGCATAGATTTTTAAACATTACTAGGCCCTTGACCGGGGCCAAAGCAGAAGCCTTGCTGGTAGGAGAACACACTGATGAGAGGGGTTACTCGATTAGACTATATCAAGGGAAAGTCCATAAAGAGGTCTTTGGATGCTAACTGGAGAGTTTGCAAAGACAAAAGACTTGTACCAGTGTTGTCCTTAGCATGTGAAATGAATTACTTGCCACCATGAGATGGGTTTTATGTTAGTTTATTTAATCTTTTTTTGAGGGTTAAGTTAGCATAATATGTAGTTCTTTATTTTTGCTTTCGCATATTTGTGAACAATATAATCCAAGTAAAGAAAACAAATATCAGACTGTACATCTGTTTAACATAATTATATTACAAAAACATTATGAACAAAATAATGTTCATAAGGTGCAACCTGGGAGAGACAGATCCATAATGCATAAGACATCCCTTCACAACTCAAGTCAACCAAGAAGGAGAATAAAGCAAAAAACAAGAAAGCATAATCTGATACAAGAAAAGTTGCTTAAATTGACTTCAGAAAGAACTTGTTAACGAATGAAGACTTGTAAAGTTAATTATCCAACAGCAAAGAATTTTAAAGTTCTGAAAATTATCAAACTAATACAGAAGAAACCATAAATCAATAAAACAGAATCTTGTTACATAGGAAAAATGATACACAAAACAATGCACAGGAGCTTGTATAACCTCAGAGAATTCTTGATTTGATATCGAATCAATTGATATAGCCTCTGTCTTGTTTAAATTTAGAATGTCTAACAGAATATCAGTAGTCTTTCTGCCAGTTTTATAAAATTCAGCTGCCTTGCTGGTACCTGCATGCAACAGCATCAGGAGTCTCCAAATGTTCAAAAGTTACGCAGCCACAGTGACAAGAATGCAAGAAAAGTCATCAAGGACGCAAAGCAAACTTACTTAGAACTTGCACCAGCCTGTACATATCTTGCTTATTACTTGTACTAGAAATTCTAATTCTGACAAAAGAACCAACAACCTTATCTTGGAATTTCTCAAGATCATCAAGCAAATCTTCAACTAGATTTCTTCGCAAATAAATCAAATTAATGTTGTGAACATCAATTGCCGCATAATCATTTTGATTCGCCTCATGCCCTCTCTCATCGACCTTCTTCCGTGACTTGCGTTTTTTATCATGACCCGTCTTTAGTGTTGCATCCCTAGCGCCCTCAGTGTCCATTTGATTGTTCTCGCTATCCAGAGCTCCCTCCTGGGTATCATGCGCGGAGACTTCAGAAGATACCTCCTTTGTGAGGAAGTGCGATTCTATCAGCTTTAACATTTCAAAGTGGCCCACACGTGGTTTCCCAAACAGATTCTGGAGCCTCGAATCACAAATAATTTGGCTCTGTTTACGAGGATCGCGAAGCTTGTTCTGCTTTATATATTTTAGTAAGAGATCCTGCAACTCAAAATGAGATAACCTAGATGTATCACCATCTTTCATGTGCCCAACAAACTCCAAGAGCTCTTTTGAAGCCCACACCTCCAAATCCTTAGGTGTAGATATCTCTGCAACATCTGCCACATGTGGTGCACTCTGAGGAATCTCATCCTTAGGTAACGATTTTGATCTTCTCTTCGGCTTTTTTCGTGCAGGAGGAGTTTCAATTTGTACAGAAGAATCATCAGAGACAGATCCATGATCATCATTCGCATCATATAGTTCATCTGAAGATACGTCCTTACGAACCACAGAACTAGAATCTTTAGATGGATTACGAGCTTTAGAAAGCTCCTCCAGAGTCAAAGACAATTTTCTTTTCAGATCCAACCAATACTCCTTGAATAAAAACTCCCAACTGGTTCTGTCATCAAAGTCTATTTCAGCCTGTACCAGCATAATTCAACCATGATGTGGGAAAAGAATCCAATAAACATATTACTTCATGAAAGATATGAGGACCAATAAACAAAATATCTACATTACATTTGACAACACTGAGCTTATATAAGCCTAACTTGCATGCATATAAAATGTCGCGAAACATGTAGATTGGTGGACATTAGACGAGAAAGGAAATTTGTGACATCATACATATACACTAACATGCACGGAATTATCCTACATGAACTCTTGTATGTCTGTGTATGGGTATCTGTGTGTGTAGCACAGTTAGATAACAACAAAGGAAAAAAAAAAGATTCTTTTTTCATTACTTTTTTTAGGAGAATGATGGTGTAAATTACTCTTCCCTTCTAATAAATGAAAACCAACTAAATAAAAAAAATTTACAGGATCTGTTGACCTATTCTTTTTTACCGAGTGTCTAGAGGGTACTCTCGGATTAACCAAAACTTGTACTCCCTCTCCTTATAGCAATACAAAAGTTAACATTTATCACAAAAAAAAACAAAAAAAGAGAAAAATATGGGTATGATCTCTAATCCAACACTAACATACCCAAAAAGTGCAAGAACAGATTTTTTTTAATATTAGTATAAATATCAATAGGTTTGTACATCGGATTTCATGGAAAAGATGATCTTGTCTTTCTTTTCACTGTTGTGGTTGTTCTTGTTGTTAAACTTTACCATGGTCGTTCCAATGCCAGTCCTAACCCAAGATAAAGGAGGATAGTTGTGTTAGGTAGGCAACCAGCATAAAACGTTGCCACATCTTTTCATAAATCCTTAACCTATGGGCCACAATAGAGCAGAATGGCAGAACAAGATTATTGTAGCCGATCCCAAATAGTTGTAGTTGGGATAAGGCTCGGATGACGATGATCATTTTTCTAGTTGGTAGTGTCATAATCGCAGTTCGATGTTATTAGTGGCTTGCCATACCCTACAAAACGTGATCTCTGAAGCTTTATCTCTCTACTGAAATGCAAGTTACGCTATTACAACAAATGGTGCAACTACCTCATCACAAACAAACTCTCCATAAAAGACCATGAGGCCAAGAAATAATTTCAGGAACAGAAACATCAATGCACAGCTCAATCATATAAAGAATTAAAAATCCTACATCTTAGGGTCGGTTGAATTCAAAAGGAACATGACACTGGATTTAAGAGTGTGAGAGAAAATTCTTGTCTTCAGTCAAATCAAAGACGCAAAACATTATGAATCCAGATATGAAAGAATCTCCCTCGACACTATCATGAGAAGGTGATATATTGATTTGGCAAACATTGAATGCATATGAAGCATCATTTTGAAAACTTTTATTAACTAGTGTCACAAGCATATAAATTTACTGAAGTCCAAGTTTTTTATGGAAAAATTACCCCCTGCATGCATTATTTCCAAGTTGCGTCATGGACACATGATGCTAGGTACCAGAGACATGTGGCAAGATGCATGCATCTAGTAACATGAACTTGAATAATGTTGAGTGAAGAGCATGAAATCCAAAAACAAGAAAATAAAAGAGACCAAGATGCTCACATGTAGTAACCTGGGCTTGAAAAATGTTGGGTGAAGGGCACAAGATCCCAAAATAAAAAATAAAAGAGGCCACGGCAATAACCCATTTGCAGCTCCATTATTACTAGGGCCAGAGAACAGCAGCAGTTGAAAACTGCGGATTTGGCCACCTAGCTGGCCGGGCCGGCACCTAGTTAACTAGGCGGCCCATCCAGGAAAACCCCACAGAAGGTTTTTAGAGGGGTTTGGTCGCCTAAAATTAATCTTAGAAACTATAGCTTTTTAGAAATACAAACAAAACACATTATCTAAGTCCCCGACAATGTTTCAAAAAACCGCTAGGCGGCCCCTAGGCTGCACGGGCGCCCAGAACCTCAGGCACCCTGAGGTTGAAACATTTTACAAATTTGGATATAAGTGCTATTCAAAAGCACATATATGTAGACATTCGTGTCAATTTTGTATTTTTTTTGCATTTATATGTATTCTAGCTAACTCTTTCCATGCAAATATACACATGAAAACTTGAACAATGTTCAAAACTTCAAATCATTGAAAATTTAATGGAAAAAGTCAAAAGACATAAACAAAGTCTATGGTGCATTAGCCTCCAACTATCCAATCCAAACTGAGCATGGCATACTCTATAGTAACACACGGACACAATATCCATCAGACATTATGAAATAGAAATCTTCACTAGCACTCTAAAAAAAAATTCCAACAATGAAGGGTAAGTTTTAAGATGCTTCTTCAAACCTCAGAATCTCTTTTTGATTCAAAGAAATCTCAAAATCAATCGATTTGGGGGCTAAGATTTGAAAGAAAAAAAAATTCACTTTGGAGGTTTAGAATACCCCTAATAGTCATTTATGCAAAACTTCATAGGTCAAAATGACCCAAAGTGCCATTAGGAGACACTTTAATCTCAAAAAAGGGCCAATACCTAGGTGTTGGGTACGGGTACCCAGGTACTTGCGCCCAGGGAGAGCCACCAGGCCTGGGCATGCACCCTAAGGTCCTCCCAACGCCTTGGCAATGGGCGGACAGCTTTTTGAACAATAGCTGCATGGTAGACAAATCACGGGGGAAGCACCCCACGTTCGTGGCAGATGACTATGCGCATATTTGACTTGTCACTCGTCTAATTGAGAGAACTTCAGCACATATGAAATGGTACTTATTTAGCCATCCTCTTACCTGCTA